ATCTGTTTTTGTTTGTTTGCTTTATTTAGGAGGGACTTTATTTTTGTGGGATGCAAATGTGCTCTTTTTTTCCCCCCCTATGTTCTTCCGGTAAAATCAAGTAGAAAAGTTGAGTTTTGTGTGATCTTTTTGTGTTTTTTCTTCTTTTTTTTTCCCTTTTCTTTTAAATACCCAAATACAGAAAGTATTTTGTGTCTTTACAGGCACTTGTTAAGTTCGTACTAGTTCTCTTAAATGAGATTTTTCTGCTTCTTTTGTAAAACTGGCTGAATTAGTTTAGGAAATTGTAAAAACAAGTAAACACTTGTTTTTAAACTTTCAGCGAGTAAGTGCTGGAATACTGAAGGCACTGACTGACTCTAACAAGCAAAATGAAGAAGAACTTAAAAAGAAAATTAAAGGTAAAATAAACTAACTTACGTTGTGATAATTCAGGCTTTTCTGATTCATTGAAGTACAAAAGTAAAATTGCTATTGTCAACTAAAGAACATGTATTTAAGCAAACAACTTACTGCCATGTCTTGAATATGTATCTAGAATGTATGCCTTGGATGTTTTGAAGAGTTTTTTTAAAAGGTTTTACTGACCTTGGTGGAGTTCCTTTCTTGAACAAAGTAAGAGAGAACTGATTCCATAGTGACTATACATTAAAAGATGTTTGGGCTGTGTTTCATCATCCGAATGCCATATAAAAAAATAAAATATCAACATATGAATTTAATGATTTTCTCAATCCTAATAGTCCATAATTATTTAACAGCTGCTTCAAAAAGAAAAAAAATGAACAGAAGAATTTGTAAACTTTTCAATAAGCAACAATTCAACAAGATTCAAAGATGAACAAAATAAAGTTCAAAAGTATCTGCTGTAGTGAGAATATTGCTTGAGGAAATTGTTTTTGTCCATAGAACACCCATCTTGACAAATACTGATGCGTCATTTTTTAGATTCAGACGGTTGTTTGGCCATCTTGTGAAAGAAAAAAATAGGAGCTCTTCCTAGAAAGAGTTTTCTTCTGGGAAAATAGATAAATGCATTTGAGCTGGGAAATTAGTGAAGGTGTTGGTCCAGTCAAACAGTCTTCTCCTGTGACTGTGTTTTCATCTCCATTACCTTGAAGTCCCCTAACGGAACTTAGAATCTTGCTGTACTTTAGGGGGAAACTAAAAAAGACTGACATATTCCATTAAACATCTTACATACTGTATCCTCTGTTTTTATACTTGATGTGCAGTAACCAAGTAGGTCCCTGAAATATTGTATGCAGTATTAACTTCACATTCTACTGTCAATTCTCAGAATACGAAAAAAAAAAGGGAATACGAAGCTTCGTCGATCGCATTTTTGGTGGAGAATTAACCAGTACAATTATGTGCGAGGAATGCAGAACTGTAAGTAGACTGCTGCCTTGGAATAGTCTAGAGTATAATTTCTGTAATCTGTAGAAGAACCCCAAAGGAACTATATGTAGAAATTAAGTAGAAGTAAAGAAGATGGCTTCAATTAATACACTTCTAAGTTTCAACTAGCTGCATACTTTTCAAAGAGGGGCATGGTTTGGGTGGAATCTTTCTTCCCTTATAGTCTAAAGCTGATCTTCTTGTCCCTTCCAAAGGGCCTCCAGAAGACAAGGGCTGCAGGATCAAGCTGATTCTTGGAAAAAAATCACTCTTGAATTCCTGGTGATCCTTTTCCAGTGAATTGTAAAGGGAATTAATCGTTCAGCTACAAGCAGTATGCTGCCTAGGGCCCTCATTCCTTTTCCATCAGATTATTGCCCTTCCCACACTAGAATGACTGGGAGTTACAAGGAAAATAGCTAGAGAAAGTGCACTATCAGGATAATTCATCATGAGAATTAAGTTTTAGTCAGTTGGCCAAATGAATGTCCTGATAGGGCCTGCAAGATTGGTATCTGCAGTCTAGGTAGAGTGTACATGTTCTAAGCCACAAGGAAGTTGGTCTATGTGGAAAACTGATTGCTTGTTCCTGTGGTAATATGACTAGTAGATTTGGGGGTCATGGATAGCTGATTATGAAAGTAGATTAAAACTGTGGTTTATATTTGTATGTGCAAGTAAAAGCATGCATTGAATGCAGAGAACTTTTTTTTAAAAAAATATATACTAACAGGAAGCTAGCTACTTAAAAAAAAACTCTTTAATATTTATTTAATATTCATTTAAGGTGTCCCTGGTCCATGAGTCTTTCCTTGATTTGTCTCTTCCAGTACTAGACGATCAGGTAAGAAACTGTACAAAACTACATTCTTGGGTCCTGTGTGTGCGTGTGTTTTTTTTGTTTTGTTTTTTGTTTGTTTTTTTTGTTTTTTTTTTTTAACTTGGTTTTTATTTACATATACAAAAACACCTTTACATGGTTATTAGGGAATGGCTATATGTATCGTTCTAAAGTGTCTCTTAAAAGTCAATACCTTAAATTGCACAAAAATATAGAGCGAGCATTTCTCAAGAATCATTCCTGTAACTTGTGGCTCATAAGATGTCTTTGGGAAAATGCTGATAGTGTGTTGGTGATTTTGCTGCCTTGTCAGTTTATTCCATAAGCAAAATTAGATTATCTTGGATGTTCCTATGTTGTTTTAGTACAATAGAAGACTGAGTTGTAAAGAATAATGTTTCAAACTCGTCTTCACTGTGTATATCTGAATTAAATAGAAGACAGTGATGGGTTCCACGTCATGTGCTTAAATGCTTTACGTTTTAATAACTTTCATTCAATTTTTGTGCTTTGAGAGGATTAATGCTTTCAGTCTTCTAGTGATTTCAGAATATTGAATAAACTTAAGTATTGTTAGAATAAATAGAGTGAATGCTTAACTATTTGATCAATCTCTAGACTCAAAATACATGAGACTTGTTCCTTGTGTTTCACTTCGATAATCTGTGTGTGTAAGATTTCAGATTCTTCATTAGCACTGTTCATGCAAACGCTAATGGCTAAATATTAAAATGAAATCTCCTCAGGCAAACGGATCATGCCTTCTGCAATGAACAAAATTCGTTTTAACAGAAGCAGAAAAAAAGGCAATGTTTCAATATGTGTGGCAGGTAGTTCAATTGAAAATGTGTTTGGTTTTGTAAAATGTTAATCCTCAGTGAATTTAATTACATTTGTTAAAGCCAAAGGTAATATTGTTCCTTTACGTGCTTATAATTTGATCCAGTTAGCCTTACTTGATGATACTTTTTCATTTATTTTGCTTGATATGCCCTCTGGAGTACAGAGGCATACACAGAATCACAGACTGGTTGAGGTTGGAAGGGACCTCTAGAGATCATCTAGTCCAATTCCCCTGTTCCAGCAGGGACACCAGAGCACATGGCACAGGGTGGCATCCAGGTGGGTTTGGAAGATCTCTAGAGAAGGAGACTCCACAGCCTCTCTGGGCAGCCTGTTCCAGTGCTCTGTCACCCTCACAGGAAAGGAGTAAGGTATCTCTTTGGAATGGTTGGCATTAGTTGTCATAATTGAGTTAACGTTTTAGCGACTACAGCAACATCTCTATCTCTTGCATGGAAAAACTCCTTGAATAACATGCTCATCGCTGCAGCTTTCTTTGGACTCCCATTTTGTTATTCTGCAGAATAATAACTAATTTTGTGCTTGTTCTGACGGTTTTTTGTTTGTTTTTGTAGAAATTGAAAAATACAAATGAAAGAAATACTAAGAAAAACAAAGAAAGGGATTCGGAAGATGATGATGAAAATAAAAACAACAACTGTTATGTTAAACAGAGAGATGAGCTCCCTGGTACAAGTAAACACCTTCAGAAAAAAGCAAAGAAACAGGCCAAAAAACAAGCCAAGGTTGGTTTTGATAAATATTTCGCTTGTATTAATGAAGCACTTGCAAATTCTGGTAAAACAAGATTTTTCATTTGCCTCTTCAAATTAGAAGGAGAACCAGTGAGAAAAGGACAAGTTATAATTTCTCCTTGTGCAAATTTGCATCTGACGAGGAATTGCATATACATTACAGCTATTAAGAAGTTGCTTATTCTGCTGAAAGCTGCTGTGCTAGAAACTAGTTAACACCAAACCAATGTGGAATTTACGTTACTTGCCTGCAGCAGAATTAAGTTGTAGCATGTAGCTGTTCTGTAACGAAAAACTTAGGAATACAGGCATGAAAAAGGATCAGGAAGATATAAGGGGAAGTGTTAGCTGTATTCTAAAGACGGTGTAAAGGAAAAGAGTGAAGAACTATGTTTGAGTAAGTGTGAATTTAGTGTTAGCTACTTTGAATTGATGAAATCAGATCACTAACTGGTAGATTTTGCACTGCCACTCACTCCACTTCGACACCTATTGCATGCTCTAAAGATTTTGATAAGAAATGGTCTAAAATGCTAAACACTATTTAACCTTTCTGTTCTTCTTATTCTTGCATATCATGCATTCCGATTTTTAGAACCAGCGTCGTCAGCAAAAGCTTCAAGGCAAGGTACTTCATTTGACAGATATCTGTGCTATTGAGCCATCGGAGGAAGATCCAGAGTATAACCAGGAAATAAAGGCAGAAGGTTACTCTGAAAAACCTGATGTGAAGCAAGAAGAGGAATCGGCAAATGATTGCGAAGATCCCTGCTCAAGGCCAATGGACTTAAGTACGCAGCGAAACAGTGCAGATGTTCAGGTGTTGCCTGAAAATGCAGGAGAGACAGAACAAGAACATATGGAAGATGAATCTCACACAGATCTCTCTATGGAAGACTCGGAATCTCCTGTGAAGTTTGTCAATGGCCTTGACAACTTACCCTTGAAAGATGATGATGATGATGAAGAGGAGGAAGAGGAGCTTGCTACTGACTTTTCAAAACTACATTTGTGTGCCAATACCAAATCTGATATAAATATTTTAGATGACCTTCAGACTGTTCCGACAAAGATTCATGAAGTGGTGACTGAAGATCCAGAAACAGCCTTTTGTACCCTTGCAAAGAGGGAAGACCTGAACCTCGAAGAAAGTTCCATCCATCACTGTTTGTATCAATTTACCCGTAATGAAAAACTTAGTGAGACCAATAAACTACTCTGTGATGTGTGTACACAAAGACATTGTGGACCAAAGAAGAACTTAAAAAGTACGACAAATTATCTTGCAAAACTCTAAAACTGTCCCTATCTGCTGCTTGGGTTGGTGGGTGTGATGTACCTGAAGCACCAGTTGTGTAACTTGCAACCTAACCTTAGATTAGTAGAACTTGTGTTTAAGGACAGACAGTGAAAACCTCTTGCTTTTGCACAGTTTAGTACCAGAAAGTTCTTATTTAAGGAGAATAGTAGGTTCATAAGCTTGAGTAGAGGACACTGCAGGATGGAAAGAGGCTTGAAAATGAGGAATAATTTTGACTTAAAGGTGTTTGTTTGTTTGTTTTTTAATCTAAAACCTTATGTGGATGAATGTAGGGAGCAGTTATTTAGCAAATTACTTTTTTTGTTGTTCCATAATGTAGAATTTCTGTAACAGTTGCAAGAGAAGTACGTTGACATTTACTCAAAAGACTACAAAAAGCCCCATACATATTCTGATTATGGGAGTTGTAGGCAACATGGAAGAAAGTTCCCTCTGATGCTGCTTGCACATGGTGCCAGCTTTAGGGACACTGGTTCTGCAAGAAGGCAGCAGCTGTTCAGCTGATCCTGTTAGCGGGGAGTGTGCAGTTCCTCAGTCATGTTAGTGGATGAGTAGGTGACACTGCAACCCTGTAAATAGTGAAAACTATTGATTTCTTGCTGTAACATTTGTTTACGTATTAATAATTGATACTTTTTGTTTCCTCTAGGTGAAAAGAAGTATATTTATACCAATGCCAAAAAACAAATGCTTATTTCTCTTCCTCCTCCAATTTTAACTCTTCATTTAAAGAGATTTCAACAGGTAACTTGCGGGCTGTTGTTGCCAAAGTACATGTGTATATAGTACCAGCTTACTGTGTAGATAGCTGTATAATTCTGGCTTAATACAGAACCAGCGTTAACATGCTTTAATTTTCTGTAAAGCTCCTCTTTCCAGGGGGTGAAAAAATAAGGAGTGGAGCTCTTAAGTAGATGAAAATCAATTCTACAGACCAAATAGAAAAAAATAGGATACTCAGAGTGACTATAACACAACTGAGGAAAAGACGACTTCTATTTTCCCCCCCCCCTTTTTTTTTTTTTCTCTCCCCATTTTGATACCAGCATATTATTTGAATAGGCTAGAAGTAGAAATTCCTTTGGTTCTGGCAATGTGAACTGAGCCCTTCAGGCATGCTGCAGTTCTGCAGTATCTGAGAAGCAAGAACTGCCTTCAGAGTAATTGCTTAGGTCTTATTTAGTACTGAGGTTCTTCTCCATTTCTGCTCCCATTATTAAGGTACCAGAAGAGAGAGTTAAAGAGCTGGCCTAACACAGGCTCCAGTGCAGCATATGGAAGCAAGGGGACAATGCCAGAGAAGCTTGGGGTGGGATGGGGAGAGAGACAGGGAGAGAGGGGAAAAAGAAGCCGTTCTGTCCATCTTCATGTAAGACTAATTTTGTGTGTTGTGTTAGGATTCTTAGATCTTTGATATAACATACCTAGTAAATAATGAGAGAAGCGTGCTTTTAAATATGTTGCATTCTAACACTGGTATTTCTTTTTCTTTATGTCCTGTTAAGGCTGGATTTAATCTACGGAAAGTTAACAGGCATATCAAGTTTCCAGAGGTGTTGGACCTGGCTCCTTTCTGCTCAGTTAAATGTAAAGTAAGTGGTGGCGATATAGGGGAGCAGATTCTCCCTTTTCATATTTTACTGTGTTTTCAAAATTATGCTGCTTAACAGAATCCTTCATCCAATGTTTATCAAGTTTTCAGTTATTTTGCATGATAGTACAGGCTATCTTGTAACTTGCATGTGAGTCTGTTAGTTTTCTGGTCCCCTACTGGTCATGGTTGTGGTAACTAGCATGAGCCTGGTGACAAATATTCTGTGCTTCACTAAAAAAGAGAAGATGGAGGAGCTTATATTCTAGCCTTGTTAAAATCCAGTAGCTCAGTGACAAACCTGCACTTTTGCTCCTATAGAACGTGGCTGAGGGGAATACAAAAGTGTTGTATTCTCTGTATGGCGTTGTCGAACACAGCGGCACCATGAGATCTGGGCACTACACTGCATATGCCAAAATGAGAAATATCAACAATCACCTTTCTGAGCTTGTCCTCCGAGGAGAATCTACTCAAGGTGAAGGTTAGAAGTATTTTTAGTTACCTCTTACTGCAGAGCAGTAGCATGTCTACTCCAATATTTTTTAATGCATTTTGCCTCCTAAATTTTCTTTTCCAGCTTTAGGAACTGAACCAGTAAAAGGGCAGTGGTTCCATGTCAGTGACACCCATGTCCAGGCCGTGTCGGCAGCCAAGGTGCTGGGCGCGCAGGCGTACCTCCTGTTCTACGAGCGGCTGCTCTAGCGCCGCTGAGGAGCCCTCCTGTCTCTGCAACCATGTCGAAGCTCCCTCACAGAAGGGATGGACTTGCAAATCATGTTGTTACACCTTGGAGCTGCCGTGTACAACCGCGGGAATATGCTTTATGCTTCTTAGATACTGACGAATGAAACGATTAACTTATACTGTTTTCCAGTGTTTTCACTACTCTTTAAATAAAAGTCTTTTTTTTCAAAATGATAGTTTTGAGTTTCTAAGGAATAGCTTGTGTGACCAAACAACCACTGCTTTCTTAATGTCTCTTGCCTGCTATAGCTTTTAGTCAGCAAATAACACTTTAAAGAGATCTTGAACTATAAACAATCTTGAACTATATATAGTTATCGCAGTTATATATCTGCATGTAGTTCTAAGCATGAGAAAGATGCTGTCTCTCCCTGCACATCCTAAGACCTGAGACATTCAGCACCAGCTCTCTTTGCGCTAACCTTTATTTCTAGAACAGAAACATTCAAGTTGCAAACTCTCTAGAAATTCTTTGACAGGGTATTTTTGACAAGCTTAAGGCCTTGGATTCCTCTTTTCACTAACAGCACCTCAGCTTAGCTGGTCTCTGTTGCAGTAGTAAGAAAAACTAGTCTGAGGTGGGTTGTAGTTTTTATTTGAAGTTGTCTTCCCTGCAGGCATGGCTGCACATAGAATTTACACAAGTGAAATCCTGGCTCCTGCATGCTTGAACAGCACCTTGCTCATGCCTCTTTCAACCTGTGTATTTTTCACCCACCAACCTCCTAAGAAAAGAAGTAGTTGTATATGTGGTCCTGTTACCCTTTGATGTGCCAGCAGTAGTCCCTGTGCATAGGATTTGGTATGCCAGTCCCCTCTGAAAAATTGCTGAGTTTAAGTTTGAGCCACACCAATGATGCATAAAAAGCAAGCAGGAGCATAGCTGGTGTAGGGCAGCCTTATTTAGGCAGAAGAAAGTTCCAGACCTGATTTAACCTCCCACTCCCTTCTGGCTGTGAAATTGAATAGTGCTGGCAAGAGTCAGAAAAGTAGTCATTATTCATGGAGCTTAAATTTCAACTGCAGTTTTCCCTTTTAACTTAAAAGGCATAAGAATTTTTATGAGCATGTAAAGAGTTTAACACGGGTCTCCCAATTTCCCCCTTATGTGCTTTTAAAGGATTCCATCCCGCTCTGTGACAGGCCTGACACTTCTGCTTAGCTAACTTTTGCCTAGATGCTATTTATTTTTAAGGCAGCTCAACTCATTCTAACAGCCAGAGATACATTTAACCATTGTTTAACCTTTGGAGAGCAGGGGAACTCTGGAAGGATGAACAATTAGGTGCATGTAACAGAACTGAACAAAGGCATGGACCTGGTGCCACACTTACTTATTCCTTTTACCTCGTTTGACTTGGTATGCTCCATCTGAGTAAGGTGCATAGTGTCACTGCACACTGAGGTCCTGGAGAATAGATCCCAGTTTCCACAAATTAAAAGTTCTCTGCACCAGGCCTGCACTCCACCTCCCTTACCACAGAGGCCCAGACTGGTTGAGGTTTCAAGGGACCTTTGGAGATCATCTAGTCCAACCCTACTGCTCCTGCAGGGACACCTAGAGCACGTGGCATGTCTCTCCAGAGAAGGAGACTCCACAACCTCTCTGGGCAGCCTGTGCCAGGGCTCTGTCACCCTCACAGGAACGAAGTTCTTCCTCACATGGAGATGGAACTTCCTGTGTTTCAACTTGTAGCCATTACCCCTTGTCCTGTCACTGGCCACCACCAAGAAGAGTTTGCCCCATCTTCTTTACATTCTCCTTTCAGGTATTTGTATATATTGATCAGATCTCAAAGTTCTCCAGCCTAAACAGGCCCAGCTGGCTTAGTCTTTCGTCATAAGATAAATGCTGCCATTGCTTAATCATCTTTGTGGCTCTACACTGACCCTCACTAGAAGCTCAATGTTCCTCTTGTACTGGGGAGACCACAGCTGCACCCAGTACTCCAGGTGCAGCCTCACCAGAGCTGAGTAGAGGGGCAGGATCCCCTCCCTGGACCTGCTGGCAATGCTCCTTCTGATGCAGGCCAGGATCCCATTGGCCTTCTTGGCCACGAGGGCACATTGCTGACTCATGGTTAACTTGTTGTCAACCAGGACCCCTACATCCCTCTCTGCAGAGCTGCTTTCCAGCAGTCCAAGAGGAGTGTTGGCCACTCCTCACAGTTTGGTGTCATCTGCAAACTTGCTGAGGGTGCACTCTGTGCCCTCGTCCAAGTCATTGATGAACAAGTTGAACAGCACCGGGCCCAGTACTGATCCCTGGGGGCCACAAACCTCCAACTGGACTCAGCGCCATTTATCACCACCTTCTGGGCAATGCCATCTAGCCAGTCCTCAATCCACCTCACTGTCTCCTTATCCAGTCCCCACTTCTGGAGCTTCCCCATGAGGATGTTATGGGAGACTGTGTCAAAAACCTTGCTGAAGTCAAGGTAGACAACATCCACAGCTCTCCCATCATCCATCCATCCATTCACCTCATCGTAGAAGGATATCAGGTTTGTCAAACACGGCTTCCCCATACTGACTACTCTGGATCAGCTTTCCCTCCACATAGCTGGAGATGGTCTCTAGGATGTGCTGCTCCGTCACCTTTCCAGGGACAGAGGTGAGGCTGACTGGCCTGTAGTTTCCTCGGTCCTCCCTTTTGCCCTTTTTGAAGACTGGAGTGATTCTGGTTTCTTCCAGTCCTCCAGAACCTCCCCCGCTCTCCATAGAAAGTCCTCCTCTCTCCTGGTTTTCTCTCTTGTCTCCAAGCTCTGTAGTTTGTGGAGACTGGCCTTAGCAGTAAAGACAGTATCAAAGAAGGCATTTAGTAACTCTGCCTTCTCTGCATCCTCCACCATCACGGCACTCCCCCCATTCGGCAGCAGACTGACATTTTCCCTAGTCGTCGTCTTACTGCTGATGTAATTATAGAAACCCTTCCCGTTGTTCCTGACATCTATTGCTAACTAATTCCACACAGGCCTTGGTCTCGCCACATCTCTACATTCTCTAACACTGTTCCTATATTCCTCCCAAGTGTTCTGTCGCTTCTTTCATATTATGTATGCTTTCTTCTGTCTAAGTTTTCTTAAGCGCTCCTTGCCCATCCACACAGGTCTCTCGTCCCCCTTGCTTCCCTTCTTGTAGGAATGCACCGATCCTGAGCTTGGGGAAAGTGGGATTTGAATATTAGCCAGCTCTCCTCAACACCCTTTTCTTCTTGGGTCCAGGGGTTTCTTCCAAGAAGCTCCCAGAAAAAGTCAAAATTAGCTTTCCTGAAGCCCAGAGTTGCAATCCTACTTCTTGACCATCCTCCTCCTCACAGAATTGTGAATTCCAGCATCTCGTGGTCACTGCAGCCCAGACTGTCAACCTTCACATTTCCCCCTAGACCATCTGTTTGTTAGTATCAGGTCTAGCAGCACCCCCCACCTTGTTGACTCATCAACCACCCACATCAAGAAGTTATCTGCAATGTTCTGCAGGAACCTCGTGGACTGTCTGCTCCTAGCTGTGTGATTATCTCCGCATACATCTGGATGGTTGAAGTCCCCCATAAGGACCAGGGTGTGGGATCATGAGGCTTCTTGCAGCTGCTTGTAGAAGGCCTCATCCACTTCCTCTCCCTGGTCAGGAGGCCTGTAGTAAACTCCCACCACAGTGTCACCCCTGTTGTCCTGCCCTTTAATCCTCTCCCAGAGGCTCTTGACCTGCGCTTCGTCCTCCACGAAGGCTGAGCTCCATACATTCCAGTTGCTCTCTCACCTAAAGAGCAACTCCGCCACCTCACCTTCCTGGCCTGTCCTTCCTAGAAAGCCTAAAGCCATCCTTAGCCACGTTCCACATCACCCACCCACAAACCCTCATCTCCCTACAAAGATCCATCTGTTCATAGACTTAATCAGGCTTAGCTGAAAGAAACTCACAGTCAACATAATTTATAAGGACAAGTGCATTTATTGAAGTATTCAAAGTTCTGCACGCTGCTGGACATAAGTCTCATAACTTAAAGGGAGAAAACTCATGACGACAGGCCCTAGCTGGAACATGACAAAACTCTTAATAACCATGTCACTTGAGAAGCACAGTTAAGCTGTTCAGTCATTTTGGTCTTCATCCCAGTCTTTCTTTCCTGATGGAGGCTTAGGACCACCAGCTGGCTTTGCCATGATGATCTACAACAAGGACAGAGAAAAGGTAGAATGAGATTTTTCTACCTATATGATGCCATCAGCACTCACTAAATTCATGCAGTTTCTGGGCTCTGTACGTATACCACTGATTCATAAAAATGAGGTATTTTACCTTGAAAGCAGCAGAAACAGATACAGATATTTACCCTGATACCAAGTCAAAACACAACTTTTACCTCATGTTTGCACGCAAGTTAAACTTCAGTTAGTCTAGCGAAAGTGTAATGCTCAACCAAACTAGCCAGTGACTGGTTTACATGCCACACACTACAGGAAGCATTAGAAGAATTATTAGTACTGCAGTTCTAAATTTTTGAGTCTGTAAACATCACACTTTTAAAGCAGTGTCCCCTGGTGACACCTTGTTAAAAGCAGAGTTGTTGCACTTGCTACAGTGACCTTACAAGTAACGTACCACTAAAATTGCACTTGGCCTTCTTTCAGTGAGAGCTTGGGTTTAGAATTTTTAAGGTTCATTCTCAGTAACAAAAATAAATATTGTTACATTTCTTAGGGCAGTAATGTCATGCGTGTGCTCTTAAGATGATCAGCTGTGTCAACATATTCATGCATGCATTCACACACACATATACTTCTCTGCTGGAGAAACACAGCTTCCTGCATACTATTGTTCAGGTTCATCTTTCCAGCCATCCTTATCCCAATGTCCTTGCTGTTTAGGGGCTTTTGGACCGCCTGCTGCTTTTGCCATAATAATCTACAGAAATTTTACATGCAAATACATTTTTGCTAGTTTCACAAAATACCATA